ACAATCACTACAATTTAGTTTTAGTACTTACATGTGAAATTCGAGAGCTGTTACTGAACAACTAATCATAGGAAGAGTAAAGCTGGGAAGAACTAATTGTAAAAAAATCTAAATTATGCAACATACTTGAGCTTGGGCAGTTATTTCTGTTGCTGTGACTAATTTAATACTGAAATGCATCAGCTGTTGTTCCCAAGCATGGGGATTAGTGACATGAACTACAGTGGAATCCCAACCACATCAGGGATGAATTAGTTCATTTGTAAGAAATCACATTCCCCAAGCAGCTTTCCTGACTGAATGTTTTCAGCATATCCAAGACTGACATGTTCACAACTATTAAGTACTCAAATCAACTTTTGCCCTCGAGACAAAAACAGGAGTTGCTGGAAAAGCTCAACTGGTCTAGCAGCATCTGTGAAGAAAAATCTGAGCTAAGGTTTCAGGGTCCAGTGACCCTTCCTTAGTTCTGAGGAAAGGTCACCGGACCTGAAACGTTAACTCTGATTTTTCTTCACAGATGCTGCTAGACCTGTTGTGCTTTTCCAGCGACTTCTGTTTTTGTTCCTGGTTTACAGCATCCGCAGTCCTTTCAGTTTTTACCCTTGAGACACTCGATTGACCTTTGAAACTAATTCCTGGGTGTCCTCAGGATCCAGAAATCTACCATTTTCTGTTTTGAACTCACTTAATAACTGAGCTTCCACAGCCCTGTGTGTAGAGAACACCAAGGATTCATTAACCTCCATGAAGAAATTCCTCCTCAGTTCAGTCCCAAATGGCATGCACTTTTAAACACCCTAACCCAAGGGAAACATTCATTCTGCATCCAACCTATCTTGTCCTTTAAAAAATATATAAGTTTTAAAGAGATAACCTTCTTCTAGATTCTTCTAAACCTTAGAGAATACAGGTCCAGTCTCCTCAATCTCTCATAAGACAGGCTCACCATTCCAGGAAATCTGGTGAACCTCTGCTATACTCCTTTAGTTTTTCCTAATTCATTCGACTTAATTTTGATTTGATTTATTATTGTCGTGTGTACCGAGGTACAGTGAAAAGGAGCAAAAATTAAAGCTCATTTTCATAGGATTTCTACAAAGGTCGACTACTGGTGCTGAAGTCCCCATTCAAATACTTGCCGCCTGGCTTCACACTTCATTTTCTCTTTTAAATTTCAGATTTCCTTCAGCATTATCATTTCATAACATGCCACTCGCAATTTAACTCAGCTATCTGGTTCACTAATGTCCTTTAGCGATGGAAATCTGCCAGCTTTACCCGGTCTGGTTTGCATGTGACTCCAGACCCATAACAATGTGCTGGGCTCTTAACTGCTCTCTGGGGATGGACAATAAATTCTAGTCATGACATCTATATCTCAGGAACAAATCAAAAAGAAATGCTGCAAGTTGAAACAAAACAGGGCAATATTATTAACTAAAACATTGTCAATTCTATTCATTAACATTTTGTTTAAAGAAACCCAGAAATATTTCGGTGCACTCTTTACTCTAAATTAGTGCAACTTCAAATAAAAAATAAAGAAGAGCATATGCTTTAATGTTGAGAAGCCAAATCCAGAACCTAATATGTAAGCAATTCCGCACGTACTCAGGCTACACTCTAAAGTAACCAGGCTCCAACAGACTAATAGAGTAAAGAGAGCATCTGTTCCTTCAGTAACATGAAACACATGTCAGATTAATTCGAGTTAAATCTACTGATATTGTCCTTTTCAGAGCCCAAGCTTGTCTGTCCTAATGATCCTTTTAACTGATTACCTTTACATACCACGCACACCACTGCCGTGCCCACATGCTTGAGATGAGCAGATGTGATTAAGGTTTGTGCAGCAGGTAGCTTCCAAAAATAGAAACATAATTCTTTTTATTTCATTGTTGGGCATAATCTGGCCTCTCACTGGATTTGTGCGTCTGCAACTTGGATCAGTGCATCACTGTGCTATCTCATTTCGCATCCAACCAGCAGATTAGCAGTTCAGATCTCTGGTCCTGCTTGGCTGGCTTATTGCAACTAGTGCCCCATATGGTGAAGTTGTTCATGATTCTGAGATGAGTGCAAATTGTGGGATAAGGCTAGGTGCGGAGGATACTGTTCAGGCAGAGGTTCCCAATTCCTCACCAGTGTGTACATCATGTTTAAGGCTAGCTCAACTAGTGGCGCCAATTCACTCTCGATCTTGAGCAGTGTTTCCCAAAATATTTCCTGGTGTCACCTCATTTTAATGGCCTTGCTTACATGTGACACAAGAGTGAATATTTGGGGATTGGAGTAAAGTGCTTGCGGATTGGGGAGCAAATGAGAAGAATGGGGACAGGCTTCTGTGGCAAATCTAAAGTAGGAATTGCTGGATGTTTTACATCTAAAAACAAAACACACCTTTCGGGAGGCTTATTTTCCAGCTGGGAACAGCCCTCAAAGATCAGGTCATCTTAGAATCCCTACAGTGTGGAAGCAGGCCATTCAGCCCATCAAATCCACACTGCTCCTCCAAAGGGCCTCCCACCCAAACTCATCCCCAATCCTATCCCTGTAACCCTGCATTTCCCATGGCTAATCTGCCTAACCTGCATACTATGGGCAATTTAGCACGACCAATCCAGCTAAACTGCACATGTTTGGACTGTGGGAGGAAACCCACGCAGACACTGGTAGAACTTGCAAACTCCACACAGACAGTCACCCAAGGCTGGATTCGAATCTGGGTCCCTGGTGCCGTGAGGCAGCAGCGCTAACCACTGAGTCACCGTGCCACCCCTGTCCTTGAGGCTACACCCACCATAAAGGGGGAATAAAAATAAAAAAATTCAGCAAATATTTTGCAGCTGACAGTATTCAATTTAAACTCCATGACCATCACCGCTGACTTGGAGCCTACAATGTCAAAATCTCATCTCACATTAGAGAAATCTTGCTTGAGACTTTTCCCAAACTCATTATTTGGGGCTCACAGCAAGAAGGCAAAGGTACAAGGCACAGATACTGAACTGTGGCCCAGTGCAGTGACTGCAGGAGGGAGGACAGAATATTGAGGGAAGGGAAATACCAAATCCACAACAAAGAATACAAGATAAAAATTTAGAATAAATTCGCAAATGGATAAACTGATTTTTCATAATGATTAAATGCAATTAAATTATTAACTGTTGAGCTGCATGTGACTGTGCTAGGGTACAACACAGATTCAGTAAAGATTAACTAGAAAAATGTGACCTTTTCATTTCAGTACTGAGTGGTCAACCCATTGTGTATGGGGAAAAATAGACACTTTCAAAGCTTTTCATCTTTCACCCCTCAAGCCATTTCACAAGAATATCAAGGACAAAACCAATATGTACACTACATCAGTGCTGATTGGTTGGTAAGTGGACTCTGATTGGTACAGGTATCGCCATGATGGATGCACCGGTTAGATGCCCAGACAAACTGGGCACTTTTCTGGACCACAATCGACCAACATGGAAGTCCCTGGGTTTGCACAATATACATGTAGGAATGGGGTCTAGGCCCGAAACATCAGCTTTCCTGCTCCTCTGATGCTGCCTTGGCCTGCTGTGTTCATCCAGCTCTACACCTTGTTATCTCTTATACAGTTAGGAATGATCTCTTGGTCCCACAGGAATGCCCAGTCTAGCTCAAATAACTCTGGAAGAGTAAGGCATCTCAAGGGTGAAACTGGTTATTCATGCTGCTACTTTGCAGGGGCAACATGAAGAGTGGCGTACACTACTACCAGGACGTCGACACCATAAAACCATAAGAAATAGGAACAGGAGTAGGTGGCCTGGCCCCTTGAACCTGCTCTACCATTCAACAGGATCATGGCTGATCCAATATTCCTCACATTCATTTTCCTCGTAACCTCTGATTCCCCAACTGATCAACAATCTAACTATCTCAGCCTTAAATATACACAAGCCCCACAGCTCTCCGTGGCAAGGAGTTCCCAAGACCCATAACCCTCAGAGAAGAAATTCCTCCTCATCTCAATCTTAAAGTGGCAACCCTTCATTGTGAGACTAGGGCCCCTGGCCCCAGACTCTCCCATGAGAGGAAACATCCTCCCAGCATTTACCCTTTCAAGCCCCTTTAGAGTCATATAAGAAGAATCGTTCTTTTAAATACCAATGGGTACAGTCCCAACCTGTTTAGCCTTTGCTTGTAAAGTGAAGCTTCTCAGATCTGCCTCTAATGAAAAGATTTCTGTTTACATAAGGGGACCAAAACTGGTCAAGCCAAAGAGACGTTCTGTCCATCACACAAATTAATAATACGGAACATGAATTTCAGTGTTGTCAATTGATTAGGCCATATTTCTCAAAGATTAGCAGATTCTATCAAACCATATATCCTTTTGGCTGTTCATAACAAGCTAGGTACTGAACATACCCAAATAACCTGCACCAGCAAAACTCGAAACACAGGGTTGAAAATTTGATGTGATTCTGAAATTGGACAACACTTACTGGATAATCCTATATGTGCAAATAAGTCTGCTGACAACCAATTTAAGATGTTCATGTTATTCTCTCACAGTATGTGGATGTCACTGGCAAGGCCAACATTTGTTGCCCATCCTTGACTGCTCTGAAACGGAGTGGCTTTCTCAACCATTTAGGAGACAACCGTAATACAGAGAGTCTGGAGTCACATGTAAACTAGCGAAGGTAAAGATGACCAATTTCCTTCTCAACAGGGTACTAGTGAACACAGTTGCTATGACGTTCAATTGTAATTTCACGGTCACCATTAATCGGACTAGTTCTCAATTCCAAATTTATGATTAACTGAATTTAAAATACACCAGCTGCCATGTAGTATTTGAACTCATGACTCCAGAGGGTTAGCAATGGCCTCTAGGTTATTAGTCCCGTGACATAACCAACAGCTCCCCAGGTTTGCAGCAAATGTTGTAGATCTTGAGTCTTCTCTAAAGAAGTAAAGCAGCCTGCAGCTTGGTGCTGTGTAGTACTTACATATATCCTCGAAATCGGTTCAGATCGTTGTGTGGCTTTTCACATTCAATCACACTGTTAAACTTCATGGGATCAAATTCTGTTTCCTAAACACAAAAAAGGAGGGAAAGAAGAAACTGTGTTATTCATGTTGTCTTCAATTTTAAACATTGCATTGGAAAAAAAAACCAACAGAAGGATAAAATAATATTCTAATCACCAGGTCTTACATTTTGGGCAGGAAATTAGGCTTTGGGTCTGGAACACTGCTCATGACGTCTGCCACCTGGAGACAATCTCAAGGACCTGATCCCAGGACGGGGAAGGAGAGGTCAGGCCAACTGGAAGTTTTTTGTCATCCTCTGTTCGGATGTTGGGGTCTTGTCCGGTGTCGTTACTCTGGTCCAATTTTCCCTGAATTGGCCAATCAGGCCCCAGGGGCAGGTTCACCGTTCAATTAAAGATGGCGGGTGGGTTCTCAAAGCAATACAGCCCGTTGTTGGCGCTTTAATACGGCTGGTCAGTTTGCTGTTTCAGTTGATAGCGGATAGAGAGAGAGAGAGAGAGAGAGAGACAGACAGTCAGAGAGAGATGGAGTGCGTGAGACAGGGAAAGGGACGGAGAGAGATAGGGACAGAGAGAGATAGACAGACTGAGAGATCAAGGCAGAGACAGGAAAAGAGGAAAAGAGACAGAGACAGATGGAAAATGTGAGATGCAGAGAGATAGAGAAAGGGGCAGAGAGATGGGAGGGGGACATAAAGATAGATAGAGAGAGAGAAAGACATAGAAAGACAGGCTGACAGACAGAGAAAGGCAGAGACAGAGAAACAGGAAAAGGGACAGAGAGCTAGAGAGTGAGATAGAGAGATGCAACGGGGACAGAGGGAGTCAGTGAGTGGGAAAGAGAGATAAAGAGGGGACAGAGAGATAAACAGGGGACAGAGAGAGAAGGGGAAAGAGAAACAGAAAGATTGTGGAGCAGTACAAAGTGCCTGCAGCTGTCAAGCTGAGGAGGTGTGGGGAGCCCTGAAATCAGAAAAAAAGGGGAGGTCTTAAAGCCTGCCTGGAACACTATCCATTAGGTCTGCCACCTGGAGACCATCTCCAGCACCTGATCCCAGGAGGGGGAAGGAGAAATCAGGCCAACTGGAATTTTTGAGTTAACTCTGTCATTTGGCCTTAGTTACAAATAACTGAATCATCTACCAGCTGCCTATGGGCTGCTTGTATCTCCGACACTGCTTTGGGAAAATGGCCTGTGGGTGAGATGATGCTGACAGACTGGCACACCAAGCAGTGATGCCAATTTGCAAACATGTCCCGCTATATACTCACCCCATACATGGGAGTGAATATTCCATTCCTTGGACATACTGAAGACAACTTCCTTGAACTGGTGTTTCACTGTTTCAGCTTCCTGATGGATAGCTGGAACCTTCAGTGTTGAGAGAAAGGTGAGAAGCCACAGGTCCAATTGCACCAATAGGATTAACATCATTGCCTGGGAGCAGTGGTTTACAAATTTATAAACTCTCGTTGTAAATGGGATGAGTCATGACCAAACGTCCATCCACATTCTTAATTTTTTACATTTACCTCTTTCTTATCTCTATCATACCTAGTCCTTTGGATGCCTGGTTTCCTTAATCCAGATCCTACTTTCAATAGATATAACACCTGAAATCAATGATCACACTGCCTTAGGGTTGTAGTTTTTAAACCATGAGCTATTTTCACTGATAACATATCAAAGATCTATCCTAATTGATCTAAGAAAATGGATGTCTAGTTTCTGGAGTTCACTTTCGATCAAATCATATTGCTTGTCAGATACACGCAGTTGGACTTTGCATCTCTACAACAGTGAAGGAATGCCAATAGAACACCAACGTGCTTCTGCTGTCCTTCTCCGTCTTAGCTAGGGGGGTCAAGCAGGTTTGGAAGGTGCTGCTAATGGAGCCTTGTCAAGTCACACACCATCTTGACTTACAACAATGTCACCCTTCCTTCACTGGCTCTGGGTCAAATTGCAACGGCACTGTTAGTGAACATCACCAGTTCTGGTCATTTAGGAAGTCTGTGTCTGTATGTGCACCCGCGGCATTCATTCAGTCCAATCCTTTAAGTAAGCTCATTTCCTCAACAAAGGTCACCAAAGGCCTAAAGAAGTGAAACTTCACTTAGGAAATCAGAAATGTCCAAAGAGGATCATTGCAGTTTCATTGAGAAACAGAGCCCTGTCTCATTTCTGTTATCATATTTAGGTTAAAGAAAATGTTTCCATTATATATCTAGGCTGTTAGAAAGTCATGTCTCCTCATTCAATACCACTGCTACAATCTGATTGACCATCTTGCTCTCTCCCAGTAAAGGGCCCTGCTTTAAAAACAAACTCCTACCACTCCACTATACCTTGCAATGACTGCAATGTACTTCATCCCGCCATAACATGACAGGCTCAAAGCTTGGCTCTTCACGATGAAGGTCTCGTGTCAATATTTCATGTCAATAATTCCAGGTCAATAAAGTGGCCTTTTGGAATAGATGTTAAAAGTTGAAAGAAAAATCTTCTTCTGAACTGCCATTATACACATTTCCCCAGTTCAATGTTACCCCCAAATATGCATTGCAGTATTAATTAATATCAGTATTACCATCATCTTATTCACATGTCTCAAATTAAGAGAGGCTACAAAGGTGTCATTTGTGCTGCTGACTAAAAGGGGAATCTGATTTCCTGTAGGTCCAGAAAATTAGTCTGTCGGCTTTCTCCAGAAATATCTTTAGTGTAACAAGGTCTCAATCAAAGAGGTATAATGGAAGGATAATGGTAGCAGAGGATTTCACCATGAGCAAAATCCACCAAAAATCTAATTGATTTAACTTATAGGATAAACATCAAAGTGGTGTAATAGTTTAAGGCAAAATTGTTCTTGATACATCTTTCAACAATTACATGCTAATGGGTTCAGAGGGCTTTAAGACATGTTTTCCTTAGCTAGGAAAATTTACTTTTTTTTTCAATTTTTAGTGTGGAACTTAAAAATGAACTTGCTTATTTAAAAAGAAAAGCTTCCAAATGTTACCTCACTTTTGTCTGTAGAAACCATCAGAATCATTCAGAAATAATTAAGGAAGCACAGCATTAAGCATGTACCTTTCACAAAACTAAAACGGCAATATTCCCCAAAATAAAACATGTGAAACTGCACACTGATTCCCTGTCCAGGCACTGCACACAGAGTAGATAAGTTATTGATTGGTTTCCAGTTCTGATGAAGTGTTTGTACCCTGATCACGAAGCTACCTTTTCTATTAAGAGTTGTTTGGGCTGACTTAATATTTCAGCATTTTCCAGTTTTAGAACAGTTTAAAATGAATAGCAATGAGATTTTTTTTTCTCATACATGTGGGAAGTAGTCCAAGGCATCAAATATGATTCACTTAGGATACAGATATTCAAGTTAGTAAAGAAGTAATGAAAAACCACAGTTTTGACCACAAAGCTCCTGTGCACATGAGGGAGTTCGATCCCTAGACTTTAAAACCTACATTTCCAGTCATTGTACAAGAAGGCACAACAATATGTGATATTTTCAAACATGAAGCACAACAACGCTTCATTACAAAGTCACAAGGCCCAGGTGTATTTTCTTCTGGGTTGATTTTATATTAACTGTGTTCAGGTTGTGGGCATTAACTGGTGACACATTAGAGACACTATACAACAGGCTGATTAAAACTGGATTAAGAAGTACATGCTTTGCAGTATGTAATTCTGTAAATAAATATGAGAAAGTGTATAAAGATTAATTCCAAGTCAATAAACTGGCCTTTTGGAATAGATGTAAAAGTTGAAAGAAAAATCTTCTTCTGAACTGCCATTATACACATTTCCCCAGTTCAACATTACCCCCAAATATGCAATGCAGTATTAATTAATATCAGTATTACTGTAATCTTATCACTGACCTCTCTACCACTAACCTGTCTACTCTCTTTCCCTTGTACCGGCTACCACTTTGACTTCTCTCTTTCACGCAATATGGCTCTTGCACTCCCTAACTGTCTTGATTACTCTTGATTAATCCTACTGTATTTCATTGCATGAGATGCCATTGTTCTTTCCTCAATATGTCACTCAATCTAATTTCTTCTTTGTGTACCTCTCTTTCTGAAGGATATTGCTCATTCCCTCCCTGCTTGTCTTTCGCACAATAGGTCCTTCCTTTCTCAAAGTACATCCCACTCCCCTCTATTGCTGGTTTCCACTTTAAGGATCTTGAAGCAAGTAGCTTTGAAATAGCTTCAAAAGCTTCAGAATTTGTCTTGTCTCACTTACTTGGGGCATGTGTCACCTTGGTGTGAAAGAAGCTACCGTAAGGATTGGGAGGGAAATAGGCAAAGCTTGTAGTTAGAAAAGTGAACAACACAGACGAAAAAATTGGATATTTCGGAGAAGATGTACACTGAGGATGAAACAAATCAACCCAGGGCATCCCTAAGTGACACTCCAAGCACACATTTACACTAAGTAGTAAAACAAACAAGAATCTATAGAGGCACATACAGGAATCTTATCTTCAATGCTAGTTGCTTCTAACAGTTCTGCTTGGTCACCATTAAGCACATGATGGTATAATGAATAAGAAAACCAGATGGAAGTACAATCATAGATATAAAACAGAAATTGATATTAGCTCTAAAATGTTTGGTTCAAAATGAAACTACAGAACTGGGAAACAGGAGTTTAAAGAAAAATCATGAGACATGGTCAATAGGAACACTTCCCTGTTGTCTCAATTATTACAGAACATCAATCTAACATCTTCTTTTTTGTCTCTATCAGGTACATTGGAAATAAAAGACAAATTGATGGAATAATGAACTCTGTCTACTGAAAGTGAGGCTACCGATGTGGAATATAGGCCCTCTCAATCCAGCCTGTAGCGATTATGAGACACTGGGCCAAGCCTGCTCAAATAATGCATTAAGCAGCAAGCTCACTGGCGTCATTGATGACTGATGACTTAGTAAAGGTCACTTTTTTTAAGAAGTGTTTACATGTAAGAAAGTTTCTGCAAATATTGACACATCTAGGTAAAAATTCATCTAAAAATGGAATTGAGTGTTTTGGGTGGTTTGGGCATGGGGAGTCTTTTAAGCCACTGTGATGAATTTTGGGAAAACCAAAAGGGCAAAATTGGAACTCTGGTGAAATTCAGTCAACACTCAGAGCAAAAGACAAAGCCTTTTAGAACCAACAGTTCTTTCCAGCTAATAGCTGGAGCCAAGAGTATCTACATCACAAAACCAAAAAATGAATGGGCCTTGTCTAAAGTGACAAAGAACACTCAGGTTTAAAAACAAGGAATACCAGTTACAGGCAGTCCATCATGTTTGTACAGTGATGTGAAGAGGGAGCTAAAAACTTGCCAAATGCCACACTTCTGGCAAAATCTCAGAACTTGAGCAATGTTGAGTAACATTTAACATTGCATCTTTGTGTAGACATTGATTATCAGGTCCACTTAGCAAATAGGCAAAGAAAAAGACTCTCATCTTATAATGAAAACAAGTAAAATTTTTGGATCCTACAAATAGCCAGCATGGAAGGGCTTGGAGGGATATGGACCAAGCGCAGGCAGGTGGGACTAGTTTAGTTTGGGATTATGTTTGGCATGGACTGGTTGGACAGAAGGGTCTGTTTCCATGCTGTATGACTCTATGAGAGACTCTCCTGTTTGACTGGTGCAGGTTTGGTTAAGATTCTCAGGAACAGCTTTCTCCTCCTTCAGATTCTGCTCACTTGTTATGTGTGCTTCCAGGATTTCTATACAAATATATGAATGACAAGCAGGAGTAGGCCATGTGACCCCTTGGGCCTGCTTCGCCATTCATTAAGATCTGTAACTCTATGATCATAGCCGACCTGATTGTGGCCTCAATCCAACTTCTCTACTCTCAACAACCATTGATTCTTAATAAAAACCAAAAGAACTGCCGATGCTGTAAATCAGAAACAAAAATAGAAATGTCTGGAAAAGCTCAGGTGTGAAGAGAAATCAGAGATAACATTTCAGGTTCTGAGGAAGGGTCACCGGACCCGAAACGTTAACCATTGATTCCTGATGAGTGAGGGAGTCTTAAAAGCATTCAACAAGCCCATCTTCATGCTCTCTGGGGAAGAAAGTTCCAAAGACACCAGATCCTCTGACAGAAAATACCTTCTTCCTCATTTCTGACTTAATTCCAGCTTCCTAACATTCCCTTTGGATTTTTTTACACCTCTTCACTTAGCAGAGCATGTCCCTTGTTCACTGTTCCTCCTGTGCCAATAACCTGCCATGTGAAGGGAAAATAAATTGCAATATTATGGGGAAAGGAGCTGGGGAATGGAATTGACTCGGGAGCTCAGAGGCGCAATCGCTGAACTGCCTCCTTCTATGCTGTATAGGCTTCAGACCACATTGGGAAAGCATGTGCCCTGAAGTTACTTACAGAGAGAACAAAGAACCACGAGATGAGAGATGCATGGAAAACAAAGTTGGCCACTTCACTCTAATTGGGGTAGGATTTGATTCAAGCCGAACTTAGACAGTTAAAGTTAGAGTTAGTATTGTATGCGAATTAAGTAAAGTGAAGTTAAATGAAGTGAGGTGAAGTTGAAGTTAAGTTAGACTAATTAAGAAGTTACAATGAATGTATGTTTTATATTATGTATTGTTACTTAATTAGTTGAGATAAAGAAGGGTTCATTTAATTAAAATCTGAGTCGGTTCCCTCACGTTTCTCTGTCACACAAGGGAAGAATACCTGGGTTGAGTTTTAGTACTCCTTGTCAGGTAACACAGGGCTATGGGGAAAAGAGCCGGGAAGTGGAATTTATTGGGGAGCTCAGAAGCTCATTGGGAAGAATGGCCTCTTGCTGCGCTAGACAGCCTCGTGACCGTTTCAATAGTTGAAAATTGCTTACCAGCTCGGTGAAACCCTTAATAACCTGTCGCTGTTTGAGGTTGGTCTCTCCATCCAGATTAGCAGTCTCGATATGGCAGAGTCCATCAGGGTCACTGGAGTACAGCAGCAGGATATCGGCAGGAATGATTTCATTGCAGCGCAGGCGAACAAAATCCCCGACCTGAACTTCTTTCCAGTATTTTTCCACATACTTTTTCTCATTCCTTGAAAAAAGGAATCAAGCACAGCAGTCAGTCACATGAATGAGGACATACATCACAAAGGTAGGAACACAGGAACAAGAGTCGGCCATTCAGCCCCTCAAACCCGTACTGCCATTCTAGGTCATGGCTGAAAATCTCCCCAGTGTGATCTTCCCACATTATTTCCAGTCCACTTCATGCCATAAGTCTCCAGAAACTAACATCGATTTCTGACTTGAATCTGCTCAGTGTGTGAGCGTCCACAGTCTCTCTGGGTTAGAGAACCACCCCCCCCCCACCTCTCGGTGAACCAATCTGACCTCATCTCAGTCTTAAATAGCCTGCCCTTTATCCTGAGGTAAAGTCACCAGCCTGGGGGAAACATCCCATCTCTGTCCAACGCGTAAGAAGTTTCACTCAGATCAGTGCTCACTCTTCAAAATTCTGGGGAATGCAAATCCAGTTGCCTCAATCCCTCCCCATAAAACAGTTCAGTCTTCCATGAATTAATCTGGTGAACCTCTGTTGTGCTCCCAGTATGACAAACATATTCTTCCTTTGATTAGGAAAGCAAAACTGTACACAGCATCATAGCAGATAGGCCATGATCTCATTGATTGGCGGAGGAGACTCTGAACTCAAAACGCCTTACAATTAAAGTCAACCTACCACTTGCCTTTCTAATTGCTTGCTGCACTTGCATGCCTGCCTCACGGACAGGAATAGCCACATCTTTTTGGACTCCTACACTTTCCAACCTCTGATCATTTAATAAAATATTCTGCTTTCCTGCTTGTTTCCCTCCCCTCCCAATTACGAGAATAATTTCACATGTGTTTACATTATAATCCATGTGCCATGTTCTTGCCCATTCATTGAGCTGGGCCAAGCCCTCTGCAAGCTGCCTTACACCCACTTCCCAACTTTCCCATCCTGTTGGATGTCATCACCAAATCTGGTCCCCACATGTAAATCATTTATATAGATTGTCAACCCCTATGGGCTATCACTGACCCTCGTGGTATCCAATTAGCTACAGCCTGCTATCTGCACAAATGATCCAGTAATTCCTATTCACAGCTTTCTGCCAATTAACCCACATCAGTATGTTTCCCCTCATCTCACACACTCCTATTTTATTTACTAATCAGGACCTAATCAAAAACCTTCTGACAATCCAAATACATAACATTCAGTGATACTCCTTTGTTTATGCTACGAGCAACATTCTCAAACAACTTCCAACAAGCTTGTCAAACAGGGTTTTCCTTTCATAAATCCATGCTCAATCTGCCGTTATTTTCGAAATATTTAGGTATCACATCCTTTATAATAGATTGTGGTGTGTTCCCTGCTATGGATATCAAGCTCACAGTTCTCCACACTTCTTCTTCTTAAAGAAGGGGCTTATATTTGCTTCCTTCCAGTCAGCAGGCCCCTTTCCAAATCTGTACAATTATGAAAAATCATCACCAATATAAACATTTGCATGAGTTTTAGAAATAGTAAGAACTGCCGATGCTGGAGCCAGAGATAACACAGTGTGGAGCTGGAGGAACACAGCAGGCCAGGCAGCATCAGAGGAGCAGGAAAGCTGACGTTTCGGGTCAGGACCCTTCTTCAGAAATGGG